TATTCTTTCGGAAAGAGGACAGAGGAAATAATAAAATAAAGAGAAATAAACTGACTTACTCGTTGCAGAGTAGTTTCGGAGCGGGTTGAATAGGTTCGGTGGTTCTGAGCGCCCCATTGAGGGATGGTGTTGTATAGGTCGGACCCTTTTTTTGTAAACGTGTGGGCACCCTGCTGCGGGATGGTGTCGTCAGGGCGATGGACCCTCTACTCGAGATGCACCACTTGGTCGCGACAAAGTATCGACTTTTTTAATTCGCGGCCCGAACTACTCGAAAAACTGTGTGAAGAACTTGGCAAAAACTGCTTGAAGAACTAAGTAAATAATTGTGTGTAATTGCGTGTGGAGCCACCAGAACACGGGTTTTTATACCCTTTCCTTGGGGTAGATCCCTTTGGAAAATCTTAGGTTTTTGAGGCGGGGATCGAATAAGAATTAGTCTTGCGAGATTTTTAATGTGGGGGAGGATGGCGTTATTTTTAGCTAATAGGATTGGGTTTAGATGATTACGTTACTTGAAATGGGGTAGGAAGAAAGGGGCCCTAACGAATAAGGAATAGCATCGTTTCGGGTCCATATATGATGGGGGTAGGTTTTTGAGGTGGCGTAACCGTTTGGTGTTAATTAGTATAGGTGGGGTGCATCTCAGTGTCTTAAGATCTGAGTGGGCGTAGTCTTTAGACCATACGATGGAATGATGGGTGGTCTATAGAGGTACTTGCCCCCGATTCCCGGCTTTCGGATTGGATGGTTAAGAATCGGTATATAAGTTTGCAAAGTCTTGGGTCACTGATCTAATAAATTTGACAGTTTACGACTGTCGCGTGCCCTTGGTGTCGCGTGGAGAGTGCGACTAATGCATCTCGGTTTCCCAGTAACATTTTAAACTGAAAATTGAACTACTAAGCCACTAAAAAAAATAGTAATAATCCATCATTGTAATCATGTTATCAGTTGCATCAATTATTGTTTATCAATGATCTTCTAAGCAGGACGCATCGTCCCTGCCTGTCCGTTGTATCGGACTCGTAAGTAGCAAACTATTTTCGCATATACTGTAGGCATAGATTGGTTGTCTTGCGGTGTAAATTTGGTAGCGTGCGACTAGTGCATCTCGGTTTTCCAGACCTACTGAACACGTGCACCGTATTAGGTGTCGTGCTTTCTCGGCGTGCGACTGCGGTCATTCCCCGATCGTTACTCGGTAAAACCCTATCTATTAGCTAGGATTCCCGTAGGTGGAATCCAAGAATATGATTAGCTGGTGCCAGTTCTTCTTTTTATCTCTTACTCTAAACGTCTGGAATCGGCTAAAGACTCTAGCTACCGCAAAGTTTTGACTTTTACGATTTTTCTGGCGACGATAGGCACTCTGAGCGGCCAAGATATTTTGAAATATCCATGCCCCTTGCTATTTTTCTCTGTGAGAAGGCTCGAGCTCCTGGTATCTCGTGAGAAAAACAGCTCTGGTGTTATAATATTCTTTACGAGTTTTTGTTGGTCCCGCATTTACTTGGTCTGATATTTAATGAAAAGAAAAGAATCGTTAAGTCTGATCAAGACGTAACAATACTATAAGCTTATTTTTGGCAAGAACACAAAAGCAAGAAAAAAACAAAATTTTTTTTATTTTTTATTTTTTATTATTGGTTAATTGAAGGCGACACGATGTCGCTACTGTTTCTAATTTTTCGGCATGCCCGAACTGGCATAATATGCCCAATAGGTCTTGCATATGGTTATTTCCCGGAGTCTGTATTTGTAATTTAACGAACGCTACTGCGAGATAAGCGCGCGCGTCATGTTACACTACACAATAGAAGGAAACGAGCAAACCAGTGACTATCATTTTTTCTCGTTTAATTGCGGCGAATAATATAGAGTGAATTATTTAAGTTATGCATTTATTCTAAACACCAATAATATACTTTATGTTTTCTTCTTAATACATATCTAGCCGCGGTAGAATATAAAAATCGGAATTATAATAATGAGTTATAATAGCGTGCATGCATGCATGCGTGCATAATTCTTTTGATCAATATACTCACACATACGACTGTACGAGACGTGTCCATTTTCCCATCGGAAGCCGTGATGGTGTATCCGTAACCAACACACCAGCGATTTTTCCGATTTTGTCAACAAATACCACGGTACGTGTTCACGAAATACGTAATGAGATAACGTTTCGCCATCTCGAAGTACCGGGAAGGGTTTTGCGTATAATGAGACTGTCAAGTGTTTACTATCGTCTCATGACGCATTGTAAAAGAGTAATTATAAATTTTTATATTATTTTATTACTTTCTTGGCGTAATATATATATATATTAATTCTAATTATCTAAAATCTATGGAAATATTGCAGAATTAAATAGAAAAAACTAAATTATATTGCAATTATGTGCAAACATTTTTCATTATTACAGTGATTGCAATGCATCAATGTATAATAATACTGTTTAACATTTTAAACTGAAAATTGAACTACTATAAGCCACTAAAAAAAATAGTAATAATCCATCATTGTAATCATGTTATCAGTTGCATCAATTATTGTTTATCAATGATCTTCTAAGCAGGACGCATCGTCCCTGCCTGTCCGTTGTATCGGACTCGTAAGTAGCAAACTATTTTCGCATATACTGTAGGTATAGATTGGTTGTCTTGCGGTGTAAATTTGGTAGCGTGCGACTAGTGCATCTCGGTTTTCCAGACCTACTGAACACGTGCACCGTATTAGGTGTCGTGCTTTCTCGGCGTGCGACTGCGGTCATTGCCCGTCACTCGGTAAAACCCTATTTACTAGCTAGGGTTCCCGTAGGCGGAATCCAAGTATATGGCTAGTTGGTGCCTAGTTTTTTTTTTTTCTTACTTTAAACATCTGGAGTCGACTAAAGACTCCAGTTATCGCAAGTTTTGACTTTTACGATTTTTCTGGCGACGATGGGCACGCTGAGCGACCAAGGTATTTTGAAATATCTATCTTTCTTGCTATTTTTCTCTGTGAGAAAGTTCGAGCTTCTGGTGTCTCGTGAAAAAAATAGCTCTGGCGTTATAATATTCTTTAAGAATTTTTAGTTGGTCCCGCGTTTACTAGGTCTGGTATTTAATGAAAAGAAAAGAATCGTGAAGTCTGATCAGGACGTAACATTAGTATAACTTTCGTTGCAAATATTATCTAAAGATGGATTGCTAGTTGGGACTCTGGCAATTCTACCAAAAACCAATTCATAGGGTGTATATTTCGTACCTTCATGCGTGCTTGTATTATAGGAAAAACATGCAAATTTCAAATATTCATCCCAATCTTTACGGGTAACAAATTATTTCAACATTATTCCCACAAAACGTGGTGTGAGCGCTCTACTGAACCATTCGATTGAGATCTGTAGACAGTGATTTTATATTGCCTAATTCTAAATTTATGTGCGACAGTACGCATCAAAATATTAATAAAGTTTGTACCTTGATCGGTTAAAAGAGCTTTTGGGGCTCCAAATGTATAAATAATATCTTGAATAAATGCATCGGCTACATGAGTAGCGGTGGTGTGTTTGAAAAGAATTGCAAGGCAATATTTCGTTAGGAAGTCTTGGATCGTCAATATGTGGGTGCTACCTGATCTTTAGGCGGGTAACGGTCCCATTATATCCATATAAATTTTATCGAATGCTGTATCGGGTGTATCAGTCAAAAAGTCATTCGATAACTTCGTATAATGTATGCTATACGAAGTTATTACGGTTTTTTTATTTGACTTGCGTTACTTCCATGCT